TACTTAAACAGAAAAACAAGAGGGTGGGGGGTTATGAATGTGCTAAATGATTCATAGAGGTTTTATAGGTGTTTGAAATAAGCTATTCCACAATAATCTTCAAGATGAAGAAGACACTACTGCCGCCATACAGCAACTGTTCAAAGAAGCTGTCAAAAATGTCATTAAGGATCTTAAGCAAAGTCCGGAGACAGTTCGACACAAGAATTGGGAACAATTTAAGTTGAAACCAAAATTTCAAGAAAAAAAAACCCAGTTCCAATAAACATCTGTGGGGCATGGAGGTGGAGGTGTCACGGTTTGGGGACCCCGATCAGCTCAGCAGCATAAAATTCGACAGAGTTTTTCAAGAAAAAAAATACATATTTACTATTTTTTAGACTTCTGCCACTAAGCTGGACCCTGCATGCTCTCAGAAAGTATTAGAACTACATTTTCCCTCTAAAAAGGTCAGAATATTTGATTTGGAATCTTATTTTTTCACTACTGTACAAAGTTAAGATTTGATTTTTGACAACCAAAAACCGTATTTAAGATCATATTCAACTGTGATTTTGTAACTTTACAATTTAAATACAGAGATTCTACTAAACGCTTTTTTCATCCTTTTATTTTTTATGAAAACCTAACAAAAAAAATGCATGCTGTGACAAAATTTAAATATGTTGTAAATTTAATCCATCTTTTTAATACACACAGACACACAAATACAAAGTTATATGAATAAATATGAAGACAACATCCTATTATCAAGTTTTATATGATAAGTTATGAGTAAATAAAAATTAAAAAATAAAACCTAACAAAGTATAATCCTAACAGATGCCGGATCATTTTAGGGGACATTTTCTACACATAAATGAAAGCAGTCATATCAGACATTATTTGTCATTGTGACATTTTACAAAAAAATAAAAAATAATAATCCAAATGGCGTCACTATTTTTGGACTTTTAAGGCTAAAAAGGAGGGTATGACTAATTTCAGCACCGAACGTTGCAGAATCCGCTGCATGACTAATTCGGAGACTGCCACTTTCCAAAATCTCTCATCTGTTTCAACCAACAGAGAAAGTATCACACATACTGGAACGGCCCAAAAAAAAAGACATAAAAACCTGGGCCATTTCCCTGCCTTGCCATCTAAAGAGCTGCAATGACGGCTTAATGGTTTATATGGCACGTACCGAAGAGGTATGTTAACCCACAAATAGCCACATTAGGACGCCGTCTAGTTGTAATGAGATCATGCCAGTGGCTGTCTGTCTAATCAGGCCAAGTTTCTCTTGGTTGTCATCATCTCCACGGTGTGCATGTGTGAGAGTGAGAAAGAGGTAGCGATAATGACCCGCGCTGCACAGCAATTACAGGCACACTGACCTCATAGCATCTCTAAATTACACCCGATGACGGCGAGACACGTCATGATGAATGATCAGTCACATTTCTACTGGATATTCATTTATAAATAGTCTATGAAACACCCCCCCACCCCCCGATTGTCTGTCTGCGTATCAGTCCCAGCAGGCCGTAGTGTCATGTTGCCAGCAGATCAGCAGTTCTGGAAGCAGCACTCTAGCTTTACTCCGGCGGAAGGGAGGAGATGAAGCATGCGAGTGTGCGTAGGAGGAGATGGGAGGCTGGTATCTGACCAGTGAGAGTGAGAAGAGTTTCCCAGGCTCTAAGCGTGCGTCACCATGTGCCCACCGGAGGAGGCTTTGGCACATTCAAACTTTTAGGAGGGGGGGATGACTCTTGTGTGACACACTGCAGCCCACTCGCCTGCAGGGTATTTATACAAGCAGAGGTGTGGAGGATCTCCTCTGGGTCTGTCCCCTCAAGGGGGCTGGAGCGAGAGACGATACATAGAGGTTACCCCTTAAGCTAAAAAAAAAAAAAACAGCTTCTCCATGTTTGCTGAAAGGTTCTAAACAAAGATTAAAATATCTGTTTGCTTTAAGTCCCAATCAGAAAAGCAGTGATTATCCCTCCTGGTTCAAAATGAAAGTATTGATAATTACATATAATGATGTCATCTTTATTTTAGTAGTACCTTTTAGCATCTTTTTGCATAAAATATCAAATTTTTTTCTGCTGAATTTGATTAGCTATTAGCTCAGGTAGCCACCCTGTGAGGATGCTGCTCACAGCCCAGTGAATCGTACTTTGGACACACTGTTTAATTGAAAGTGTAACAGGATTTCGGTTTCCACGGTTTTGTGTCTGGCGACGAAAATTCTCTAAATATTTCTCAGCTAGCTTTCAGCAACAGGTTGGAGAGGGGAGAAATCCAGCAAAAGAAAAAGCCTTGTTACTTCAACAACCTTAAATTTTGAAGATAATTTTTGAACTTTTTAAAACTTTGAGTGACTTTGATGAGGTTTATACAACGCGCAGTTTATCCAACAAGCCTAATATTAGATTTACATACAAAGGATTAATGCTTTCAACCTACAGCATAATGGCTTCTTAGACTTAGACTTCTTTATTTGTCATTTTGTATGCACAGAGTGCATACAGAACGAAATTGCGTTACATACAGCTTATGAACATTGCATTGATATTTCAAATGGCACGAGTTATACAAAAAGTGCAGCAGTGGTCAAAGTGTAAACAGTGCAGAGGATAAAGACAGTGTGCAAATTGCACTGAACCATTGCAATTTGCACACTGTCTTTATCCTCTGCACTGTTTACACTTTGACCACTGCTGCACTTTTTGTATAACTCGTGCCATTTGAAATATATTACATATCACATCTAAGAAGCTCTTTGCTGCTACAACTTCAAGAAAACAGAAAAGAGGAAAAGAAAAATACTTCCACAATAACCAAATTTCATTAGAAAGTTGTGGTCTAAACTAGGGCTGAAACAATCAATTGGATTAATTGATTTTGGAAATAATAATCAACTAATTTAGTAATCGATGAATTGTTACCTGGAAATTAGAGACTCTAAAATGTACTTTTAGCTCACAGAGCAACCCACCTTGAGCAGCAATTATACCAAAATTGTATAAATATATATATAAAAAAAAAGGTAAACATTTTGCATTTAAAATAAAAATCTTTTTTTTCATATGTTAGTATGTTTTATCCAGAACTGCTCAAGTGAAAAGTTTTAGTTTCACCTGCATTTAACAAAAAGCCTTTTTTATGGAACCCTTGGCTACTCGATTATTAATCGAAAAAAATAATCGACAGATTAATCTATTTGCAGATTAATCATTAATTGCAGCTCTGGTCTAAATTAATTTAAACAAGACGTTGATACTGTTTTGGTATTTTGTAAACACTCTCTGTTGACATATGATAAACATGCAGCTTAAACAACATTTCTATAACTAATGCATCTTCTATCATCACAATCTTCCTGCCAATCAACCAGAGCATTTTGATGTCGCTCACTAATTCCTATATCAGCTTGCAGGGACATGTGCAGAGATATTTTAATGTCAACTGCCACTAAATATATTCCTCAGCTCTAAAACAAAGAAATACATTTTGTTTAAAATCAAATAAAGCATTTTAAAAATTACTTCAACACAAAAAGGCTCAATTTCCTCCCTGATCTGGAAAACAATCAGCATCAGCAATTACTGCTCTGACAAGAATATTTGTTTTTTCTTTTTTTAAATTTTATGTTGAAGTGGTTATAACTTAGTCATAATTAAATACACACACTCAAAAAAGAAAACCTGTTATTTGAATGGGAAAAAATAAGATGAAATATTTAAATAAGGATCTGGATGGGAGCAATGAGAGCTTATAAACTAGAAGATGTTTAGAAATATTTGAATGAATAAAGCCGGTTTTTGTGTCAACATAAAATAGATATCACATTTGAAGAGGGATTCTGGAATGGTCCCTTTTGGTAGCTGTTGAACGGAGTCTGTTTTGCAAACATCGATCTAAAATGAATGTTTACAGATATTGATTGATTGACTGATTTTATTAATTTCACAGTAAAGAAATGTACTTGTTAAATTGCCTCAATATTAAAAAAGAAGGAGCCAAAAGGAGGAAAAGGTGTATGGGGTATATACAGTGCTCCACACACACACATATGTGTGTATATATATATATACACACACACTCGAATTGAGGGGGAATGGCATCCCCCTTAGAAAAATCTTAAAAATTCTCCCCCTTGTTAAATGACCATCCCCTGTGACATTTTATTACTGTATATTTCTCTTATATATTAACAGTAATGCCAATTATATTGGCCTTTCAACATTTAGTGTGCGTGCTGTGGGCTTACCTATGGCCTGAGCTAAATAAATAAAATCTAAGAAGTGGCCAACCATGAATATGAAGCTGATCTTAGTGGGAAATTGGTCCTCTGCATTAGTCCCCAACTATGTAGGGGCAATGATAGCCATGCCAGTCCAGGGACTAACTGCAGTTCTGCTGTAAGGTGCTTTGGTCAAGGTCAATGACTGGCATACCTGACATGTAACAACTACACCATGCATATTGCTTTAGGTTAATAGACTATATTAATCAGGCTATGAATGCCTCTAAAGAAAATTAAATAAATCTACCATCCTCCTTATTTTTTTCCACAACTAGACTACTGCACACACACATATATATAAAAGAGCTGAAGATGCTTATTTAACAGGATTATTACAGTGTTATTGCAGATGTTATTAAATAGATATTTATATAAATGGATATTAAATATACATATATAGTTATTGCACTGGGTATTAAATATAAAAGCAGGTTATTGTACAGGGTATTAAATAGTTATTGCACATTAGTAACTGCACATTAGTTGTTGCACAACTTATTGCAGTTATAATGCCGCATTGTAAAGTCTAATATAATATGCAATTTAGAAACTAGAATATGCATGTATTTCTTTGAACTGAATTGGTTAAAATGGTGCCCTAAAAAGCTGCCATGCATGGGTTGCAGGAAAAAAAAAAACCAGAAAACAATAACAAACCATCACCGTGTGGTACGTGACGGCGCTGCTCGGGTTAAGTTCTTACCGTTTCTACCGAGTTTCGCGGATCCAGCGGGGCAACAAGAGTCCGTGTCGTCCTTCTCCGAAGAGGAGACTGCGTCTGCGTGAACAAAACATCCGCTTACAAACACGCAGGCAGCGTCCGTAACAAACTTTAGGGGCCATGCGTGGAGCCCGTGCAGCTCCAGAGGCTACCAGGTTAGCATTAGCCTGCTAGCGGCAGCCCGAGAGGAGCTTCCTCACAGCACCGAGTAGATCTGTCAAAGCTAACAAACTTACAGCTGGACACTTGAGCACGTCATGACTGAGCGCGTCAGAACCACTCTGCGCCGAAACGCGAAGCTTCGCTCGCGCGCATGTGCGCTACTGTCAAAGCAAAGCCATTAATACTGCATTTTGATAGTATTTCTGACAGTTACTTTGCTGAGCGCTGACAGACCCTGAATGGTGGAGAAGCTTACTCAACTCAATCACAGACAGTTGGAGCACGCGCTCCCCCGACAGTTTGTCAGCTAAACAACAGAAACCACAGAGGCGCCAACTTACTGTCAACAAAACGGAATTTAGTCGCACTGACGAAGGAAGACCAAGGTTCGCACAAGAAGGAATCCGGACTTGGTATTTGGCGATCCAGTGTCGCCATTGCTCTCCCTTCTTGTTGCTTTGCTGAGAGTCGTTTTTCCTCTCTCTCTCCCTCTCTCTCTCTTTCTCTCTTCGCACGCAGCAGGCGAAAAACGAAAGAACGAGATATGGTGACGTCACTGTCGGAAATGCTTCGGCTCGCCTCGGCAGTTTCCGGCGGATTGAGTGACAAAAATAAGAGCTACTTAAGAGTTTGAAAGTTCACTGTATTTAAAAGAATTGCCTTAATATCGCATTTGTAGACCAGGACCTGTAATTTTTACATAAAATGAACGGAAGTAAAAATGTTCAAAAATACACTAATTTAACTGTAAATAAATCAGCATTACATAAATAAATCAACTGTTCTAATTAACATAAAAACTATTTTAAACTCCCATTTGATTGAACAATATTATAGTTGACAGGTAATTAAAAACATAAAATGATTCGGATTTATACACTGATAATAGTTAAGAAATGTAGTATGCACTTGAAAATGAAATTTACTGCACTTTTTATGACCTTGATAAAAACAGTAATAAGTGAAATCTTAAATGCAGACAAGAAGCAAAAACATAGCCCCAAGAAGGCATTTGCTATTAAAAAGTGCATGAGAAGTTTACTCCGACATAATTTGTGCTTTAAAAAAAACATAGCCACCAGGACCTTATCATTAGGTTTGCAACTAATGATTATTTTGCAAATCGATTAATCTGTAGATTATTTTTTTATTAATAATCAGGTGAAAACCAGGTGAAATTCAACATTTTTCACTTGTCGAAGTTCTTGATAGAGCATATTGACTGATGATTTATTTTTTATCTTAAAGGCAAAAATGTTTATATATTTTTTACCAATCTTGATATAATTCCAGCTCTAAATGGGTCGCTCTATCAGCTAAAGGCATATTTTAGAGTCTCTATACTCCAATTAACGATTAATCAATCACTAAATTAGTTGACGAGTATTTCAATAATCGATTAATCACATTTATTGTTTCAGTCCTACATCTAACCCTTAAGGGATGACGGTAAGGCACTCTAACAGAACCAGGTTTATTTCCACATTCCCTCTAATAGCCTTAGGATGAATTACTGCTTAACTGATAAAAAAAAAAAAGTTTAGTCTTAAAGATTCTGTCCATAAGAAATGATTAACTATATTATAATAGCTACATTTGCAATCTTACTGAAAGAGCAGCTGAGGATTATATGTGCTGTGAAGATCATAATGTCTACTTCAGTTTATTCTTTACTTGTTGTATTTCTCCTAAACAAATTATAAAAAAAAAAATAATAAATTCAAATCATATGCTATACCAGAAACAGAAAAATGCCAAATTATGCACTGATACGAAAAGGGATGCTAACAGTATTTAACCCAGAAAACAAATGCATAGGAAGATGGAGGAAGCACTATGATCAGGGCCTCTTTTTAAATATCTTTAGTCTATGTGAATTTTAAGGCTCCCAAACGAATCTGTGCATTGGAATAATTTTGGAACATTAATCATAAACATTGTTAATCCCAGAAATGATAAATGCAACATATATCACCAAGTTATGGGTATTTCTATTTTTTTAAATATGATGTAGCTGTGCTGATAATGAATGCAGGACCACATATTCGAGTTGGAACTTGACCTCATTTAGAGGGCAGCTGTCACATTTTACATCAGAGCAAAAGATTTTTTGTACAAACTAATTAACGTTACTTGAAAAAATTATGGCAAAAATCCTTTTACTATATACACACATAGTTTTTGGAGAGAAAAAAAAAGTATTTCACATCAACATTAAAGCCTGCAACTTTAATGCATGTTTGGGGATTATAATTGTGTTTTAACATTTAGCCAACAAGATGAAAAGTTTATGTGGCAGCAAGTGGAATCAAATAGGTAATAAGATAAGAGACGAATTTATAAACATAAAAAAAAATTATTTAAGTCCAATTTAAGTGGAAAATACAGGTTAATAATAATAGACAAGTAAATTCTGGTGAGGTGAAGAAGCACTAACACACTCCTCGCAGCTGGAAAAGCACAGAGAAAAACCAATAGGACCAAAACACTAATTAACAGCAGGGATTGTTTGACTTTGTTACATCGCACAATAACATCTAACACCAGGAACCAAATAATTACATCTGCTCATTCAAAATAACTCATATATCATCTGTGGATGGTTCAGCAGATGGAGGTTATGGCCCAACACCGCCCTCTGCTGGTCAGAAGCTGTTACAGTGAAAGTTGTAGGAGGAAAAATTAAAATTAACCGTATCATACAACAGCGTGGAAGATAGAAAATGAAATAATAATGTTTCCATTAAAGTAATTTGAAGAAAAAACATCGATTCAGTTACTAATAGTGATTATTTCATGCTCAAAATGCTGAGACAGCGAAGAGAATATAAGAAAACTACAACAGTCAGGGAATTGCTAAAAGTTTTTTTTTATATAAACACCTTTTCTACACATTATACACAATATCTTCAATATTGTATATAAACAAAACTTTTTTTTTAAAATGACATTTAGCTTTCTATACCAAAAACACTTTTACAAGCCATCAGAGGTTCACCTGCTTTTAGACAAAGACCCTGATTATACAACCAGCACTCCAAGAAATGCTATAGAAAAACAGTATGCAATAATTAGAATGACCATCTATTGTAATCATCATGTACAAGTCAAATTCCAGACCTAAATCCAGTCGAGAATGTGCAGGAAGACTGCATAGTCGAAGCCGAAATTGAAGGCGTCTCCCTCTAGTATAAGTTAATGTGATATATTAAAAAAGTTTGGCAAAGCTGTTAAAGCCCTAAACCTAAAGGCTTGCAGTGGTAATTGTAGCAGGAGGTGATTCTAAGGTTCTGACCAAGATGGACTAAATATCAAAGCATAAAACTTTCAAATGATCTATTTTTGCAAATGAAAACTATGCAAAAAATAGGTGTTTGAAAATCTCAAATGTATGTTTTTCGTCAGATATTAAAACCAAACATTTGATTTCAACTCGAGCAATGGAACCGGAGAAAACAAATGTGAAGAAGTGCACATTTAAAAGCACACAAACCCTCTTCTGCAAAGGAAATTGAATAAAAAAATGCATTTATTATTTTTTTAAATCAACACACACAATGAAATCATCGGTTCACATTGAAGAGAGTGGATTCCTTTTCAGCACCACTGCAGAAATGTATCACCAGTACACTGTAGACAGTCACTGTTTTACTGAAATTTGACCTATTTTTCAGAAAAAAGATACCATTACAATGTAGCAGAGAATGAAATATCATTAGATACTGAAGACAAAGTAAAATATAGAAACATGACTGGGTTTACAGAAGGTTTATGAAAATGGACATTCGATAAAACAAAACGAGCTGCAAAAATAGTGCTTTGGTGGAATATTATGTAATCCGAAAAATGTAAATAATAAAACTTGCATAGAGCAAAAAAATTAATATTACATTCTTTAGGATTACAGGGAAAGCTAAACAATCAAAGCAATCTTTAGTACTTTAATTGGTACCTCAGTTCAAAGTGTTTCATCACTTAACACAGAATCTCTGGTTTTCTTCGGTTTGTGCTTAAAAAATTGTATTACATTAAGCTCCATGAGATAAACCACGTCCCTAATATTTGAGCTTTAAAGGACTTCATATTCTTTTTTCCCCCCCTAAAGCTGAAAAGCAAAATATAATACAGCTGATGCAAAAGATTAAGTCTCACCTGAAGGTGCAGTTACTACCACCAACCAGTAGGTGGCGAATCTAAAACATTAATTCTAAAGATATCAAAATACTATACATATTAGAATTAAATGCTTACATAGTTCATAAAAAAAAGAAAAAAATATTGACATAAAAAATAATAAAAAAAAAGGGTGATTTTGTTTTTAAAATTTAAATGTATTAAAATGTCGTTTCCAATGCATTTATCTTTCCTTATGTCATAGAAAACGTGTAAAAAACCATCAAAATAAATGTTTTCTTTCGTCAAACCTTTCTTAAACTTTAATTTAAGTACATTTATTAGGTGAAGAAACATAAAGTCTGAAGAAATAGTTGTTCATGATAAATGAAATCGCTTAATTCCTGTAACTGTATGTCTTTGTGTTTTCCTGCAATAGACGGGCAATTTATTCTAAAATGTACCCTTCCTTTTATACAAATACCTCTGGATATAGATACCAGCGCCACGTCACCCTGACGAATAAGTTGGATGGATGAACAAAGCATCTGTGAGCTATAAACTAATAATATGTGACTATTAATTTCTAAAATGCGGACAATGTTGCACCTTGTGGCTTCACACACCAACGAGGAAGGTAACAATGGAAACACTAAACTAAGAATACATTTATGGAAAGCACTAAGTGTGCACTTTTAAATACGGTGTAGGATCTGTGATGCTGCGGGACTGAAAACACTCGGATCTTCCTAACTTTGACAGAAACCATAAGCTTCCCTCTGGTTGGGCTCAAGTGAAAAAACAAATCTGTTAAAAAGCAAATCAAATCCACTATTAAGCAAGGTGAAGGCTCGGTGGCACTGTGGGTTTGCAGACCTAGTTTTAGTGAATTTTATAATGATTATCTTTCAATCACCAGCACCAGCATTCTAAATAAAATGATGGTGGCATTTGCTAGCAAAATAAAAAACTGGATTTGTGTACATCTGGACCAAAGGGCCAGCATGAAGTTCAGATTAAGCTTTGTTTTTATTGTTCCTAAGCTGTAGGAAGAAATATACGCAAAATATGATTTGATCCTTCCAGAGCTATCAATAAAAAAAACACCAAGCTTAAGTTGACTGATGACAATTTCCACCAATCTCTCCTTTATTTTATCTAACAAGAACATCTTACTGACTCTTTTTAAAAACTTCCTAAGTGTATCTTTAAATATGTGTTTATATGGTGAAGGTTTGACTTTCTTTCTGTGTTGTATGCATGTTTACGTGTGGCAACAAGAGGAAGGCGGCGTTAGATTGGCGCAGGGACCTGCTGCCTTCCAGGTCCTGGTTGGGAGGAGAATTTCTGGGAGTGCCAGCGAGTCTCCTTGTAAACAAACCAGGCATTGCCGGCCCAAATGAACATGTTGAGAAAGCCAAACACCTGCAAGGACACAGAACAGGAACATTTATGAAATGAATCAAACATTAAACTAGGCAGCAGTTTAGAACCAACTTTACCAATCAATAGATAATGCCAGCTTTAGTTTCAGTTTTAATTACTGAAACCTTTTCAACCAAGCTGTTGGGGTTCATTTCTTCTCACCACAGAGATGTTGAGCGTCCGCATGTTGGCGAAGTCCGTGACCTCGCAGGTTATGTTGCTTCCTTTGCAAAGAGCTAGAGTGTTGCTGATTGCTTCAGTGTCTGTGGCATCCTTTACGTTCTGCAGGCCCTTTGCCCAGGCAGATGAGCACACCAACCAAAGGAAAACTAGGGCCGCTGTGATGACAAAGTCCTTGAAAAAAGAAAAGAAAGGAGCTGTTTGTTGCTTTGCATCAAAATAATACATGCTCAGCCTTTCCAATCGCTTTCAGTGTTTCTACTCACAAATATAGGACCAAAGTCAGAGTCTTTATAGACGTGCATGTAGCCTAAGTAAACCAGCAGAGCTACCATGCTATACAGGAAACATAAGACCCCGATGCCGACGAAGAACTCAGCGGCCGATGTGGAGTCTCCCATCAGGTGTGTGGTAGGGACAGAGTGATTGCAAATAGTGGTGTTTCCATCAACGAGTGGAAATTTGCTGAGTCTGTCCATGATGCAAAGAGACAAGAAAATAGACAAGATTTTGTTAAATAGCTTTGGGATTTATCTGTCTTTAGAAAAATGCAGAGACAATCTGATTGCCTCCATCTGTAACGCGTCAAACTAACTAATAACAGCAACAATCAATGGAAAAATAAAAATAAAAATCTAAATTAACATTTTTTTTCTGAAATGGTGGAGGCAAGTAAAACACTTTGCCAATGGAACAAAACAATTTACATTTAAAATAAGAAAAAAACAATTACATTGTCTTATACCAAGTGCATATTATCTAATTATCTTATTATAAGAGTAAAAATATTAATTTAATTGGAAAATCATCTTATTTACCTACTAAAATTGAGGGTAAAAGCACTTAATTCAATCAATTTTTACTTATTTATAGGTCATTTTTGCAGTGGTTTAGAAGTCTTTAAAAAATGAAGATTAATTGAGCTGCTTTAAGGATACGTAAGGTGTTTAAAATGAAGCCAGTATCTGCGTTATAAATCATGCTGGATTTATAAATGCTGGCGCAATGGGTGTAAAGTCTCTCTGTAAAATAAACAAAAATAAAAAAATAAAAATACTGTACTGTTAGAGGTTACATTTGGAAGTAAAGCATTCTAAATAGCCAAAATGTCAGCTTTAATTGATCAAAAAGCTTTATTTTCCATCAATGGCTCGTTTAAACTCACAATGTAAGGGTGCTTCTGATCCTAATAAGTACAGTAAGTAATTAAGGACCACTGATGATCAGACTTTATTTGAGCTATTAAAGACTAATCAGAATCTACAGGTTTCCAAAAAGTCTAAATACATCTGTGTAGAACTCAAAAGCAGAAGCCTCAGTCTATTTAATAATCATACCTAAATGGATATTGAAAGTTGGCGTTGAGGGTTTTATTTGTGCCGTCGCCACAGAAGAGAGACACGATGTTGGTACCAGAGAATCCGCCACAACTTCCGAAAGCAAAGATGGCGGTGAGCTGTTTGGACGGAGAGCAGAGACACATGTTAAGGATGCACATGTAAAAAGCATGAAAATATCTAATTAAATATTATTAGATTTAGCAAGGCATGCGAGAATTAACATTAAATGCTGCAGAAGTAAAGAGATTATTGATTTAACTACCATCATACTATATGGTCAACCTTGTTCAAGAGCCGTAGTTTTAAAATATATATGTTTTATGGCAGCTCCACAGTTATTATAATAAATTTATTGTATTAAATCTGTATATTTAAAACCTTTTGTGTGTTTTCTTTTTTTTTCACTTCAGCTGCCATTCAGTTGTTGGATTCCTCAGGATAGAAAAACATCTGACTCAGTTTGTCCACCATGTGACACTAATTCGCCCCCCTTAAAACCAAGGAAGACTAAATTCCTTTCTTGAGGCAGACTATGCCAAGGCCTGCCTGAGAGCACAAACTATAACCACACAACTCACCGAGTGTCAAGCTAATTCAAATTCTTACTGGTATTATGTTACAACGCCACTTAGATGAAAATGTGCCAAAGTAAATCCCAACACTCTGTTGGACCGAAACTGTTATAGACTGAGTCAGCCTCACACAGCACAGCTTATTGTGGACAGCAGGCTGGGTTAAAATAATCAATTTTAACAACCAGAAAATGTTTTTTTTTTTTTAAGTACTATATGATGAGGGAGGTCTATAGAAATGAGACCAAATATAATTTCATTCAACACTTTGATCAACTTGGAAAATGAAAGAATATAGAAAAATATACTTTAGTTACAACTATTTTATAGGAATTTATTAGTGAAAATAAAAGTGACTGTTGTGAAAATGTGGGGTGGGGGGTACAAGATTTACATGAACAATTTTAAAGAACATTAATGTCAAGATCTAATTTTCATTTTTTGTTGTTTTTAAAGAGAAAATTGAGATATTCCTACTGCAAAAAGGGGAAAAAAAAAGCAAATCTAAGATATGATCTGGTTTATGTCGTTGTGTGTCTCCATCATCTGATGGAATAAGTGGGAAAAGACGGAAGGCGATTATCTATATCAGCCACAATTATTTTAGTAGTGTGAGTGTGTGCATGAATGGGTGAATGACTGAATGCAGTTTAAATTGCTTTGATCAAGTCTTCCGACCAGTAAAAAGTGCTATATAACTACAGACCATTCACTATTTATTCCATTTTATTCATGTTAATTTATTTTTCCTTTAATTTTGACTTATGGACCTCAGTGACTCCATGGAATAAACATCCACTTAACTTAGTTGTCAATTTAAAGTGCTTATTTTTAAATTGAACTTATTATTAATTTGCACAGGTAAAACGAGTTAATATGAACTGTTTAATTAGTCGGCTAAACAGAGCTAGTGCTCTGTTGAGTCCCTATGGAGGAAATGGTGGAGAAAAGGACTAGGGCTATAATGAAGTCCATAAGGGCCAATGGGAGCCATCCATTGCACAGCACTATGGTGGATCAGGAAAGCAGCCGTAGTTCGAGACTGATCTCTGTGAGAAGCAGAACGGAAAGACACAGACGGTATTTTGTCCTGGCCACCGTTAGACATTTTAATGCCTCTTAAAGAAGTGTTTTTGATATAATTTTTTTAACTTTTTATTTATTTAACTAATTTTGAGTTTTTTATCCTATTTTATGTTTTTATATTTGCTATCGGGCTGGTAAATTTCCCTATTTGGGATTGATAAAGTATGTATGTATGTATGTATGTATGTATGTATGTATGTATGTATGTATGTATGTATGTATGTATGTATGTATGTATCTATCTATCTATCTATCTATCTATCTATCTATCTATCTATCTATCTGGGCCATTTGTTGCTATAAACCAACCTTCAGAATTCAATTAGTCTACAAACAAATCATTTAAATTTTTTTCAGAGAACAAAAGTATAACAATTTTTTTTCTTCATTTCTTTCAATCAAAAGTGTAGAAGCCATCTTAAAAAGTAACAAGTGGGGGAGGGGCAGCTCTGGTTTAAAAAAGTACTTTACATGACCAGAAAACTAGTTGCTTTGGAAGTATTCTTTATTTCTGATGGTAAGCCAGAAGTCTTTGGTGTTTGTGCTGCAGTCTGACATTGTTCTAACAGGACAGTGTCTTCTTGAAAGACTGAGGTCATCAATGCGGTGAGCAGCTTAATGAGGGAGGGTCTCATCTAGTCTCCTTCTCTGCACTGAAACCTTCCGAGGTAGTTCATGCAACTGATTATAGAACCTTCAACCATCCCTGCAGAGATATTAGGACTGGCTAAACCCATTTTTTTTTTTTTTTTTAAATCTTAGATTGGGGGAAGGGATCTCATAGAAGTGCCTTAATATTTCTACTAAAAGAGCAGGAAGATTTTGCAAAAAAATTATATTTAATGCCTCTAACAGAAAGCAGCAGCCTGCTTCCTGATCTCATTAAGGCATTTTTTTATTTCTGATCATGAGCTATTATTAAACAGACAAATTTCAGTTTGAGTGAGGAGCTTTAGGGAGAGATCAAAGTATTTCTGCAGATTAATTAAAAAACGTGTTAAATATTTTTAAAGGTGTCCTTCAGAGCTCTATATTAGGGCCTGTTTTATATTATGTGTTAGTTATTATATCATTATAAAAACTATGTCTACAAGTAAAGGGGGATTTTATCAATATAGCGCTTTAGGTGCTGCAGGCACCACTGTGTCTAACACTATTTTTTATCTTTTTTTTTTTCATAAAACTAAGAAATAAAAATTATACATAGCCTTTCAGACTGAGCATTTAGTAAATACCTAAAAATCTACACTTGTTTATTCTAAAAAGCAGAGCCTTTCTTTATTTATTAGTACAGCATCTTTACAGCATCTTGCCCATATGTAATCATGCAAACAATATATAGAATTTATTAGTAATAAATTGTTATATGGAAGTCATCTCTGCAATTTATCATCTGGTTTCTTTTCTCTTCTTGACAAAGAGGGAATATTTTCAGCAGAAACTTGATCTCTTATTCCAAACCTTGGCTATAGAATCAAATTAGAAGCTTTTGTCTGATTGGAAGGCATTTGAGCTCTTATAAGCAAATATGTAACTGGAGAGAACAGATGCTATATTCTAAAAGTTACTTATTTTGCTTCTATATTTTTTTAATTTTAAGAAAATATGCATTAATTAAACACTAGAGGCCCCATGACCGACCCCTTAGGTGTAATAAAATGAATGGAGGGAAGCTAATAAACTTGGCCCCTAATGGGTCTAAATAATCCAAAAACATTTGATTCAAAACGTTTGTTGCTATTTGGTTTGCATTAAGCAGGATAAGATTTCATCACTGGAGCAAAGAATGTAGAAATGGCAAAAACCAAGAAAACCAGTTTAAAAAGAATTCATTTCTGTCTCATCAGCACAACTGACTCACACATGCTCTCCATAAAAGTGCTTACATGCTCACAGCCACACCTTTGAAGGCTTCACTCCAGATGTTTTCCCAGATGTCCCTTTTCTGCCACTTCCTCTTGTTTTTTTTTTTTGGTCAACACACAGCATCGCTCATTTCTGGGACTCAGTCACCTCTCCAAAACGAGGTCAAAGTGGTAAATTTAGCACCCAGGAGGAATAAAATGATTCCACCCCAGGAATGAATAAATATCAAGCATCAGGAATATTGTAAAGAAAAAAGGATTTGCATTGAGTGGGTTCTTTGTAGGGCTGCAACGAACGATTATTTTGCAAATCGACTAATCTGTCGATTATTTTTCCAGATTGATCGATTAATAATTGGATAGCAAAAGGTTCCTTAAAGAGAATTTTTACAATATTAAACCAGGTGCATTTAAAACTTTTCCGCTTTAGCAGTTCTGGATGGAGCATATTAACAAACATTTTTTTCCATCTTTAATGAAAAAATGCTTATACAATATTTAACAATTTTGATATAATTCCTGCTCAAATGAGTCACTCTGTCAGTTCAAAGGCATGTTTTAGAGTCTCTAAACTCCAGTTAGCGATTAATCGATTACTGAATTAGTTGACGATTATTTCAGTAATCGATTAATCCTATTTTAGTCCTAGTTCTTTGTGCTAAGATTGTGACACTTTTATCTTTTTGTCAACACAACCCCTTTTGTCACAGTAGCAGCCACAACAGAAACTTTGACGTCTTATCTGGGTGAGAATTTCAAATATGCACAAAATGCAGACAATCTATGCAGACAAGCTATGACATTCCAATACAAACACTACAGAGTATTTCTATGGAAGTTTCACAGCTTTTGAACCTCTCAAAGTCCCAAACACCAAGGGGATTTTTTTTTTTTTTTAACCATCTGTCTTCAGTAAACGGAGTAACCAGTAGAGACTTCCAGAATGTTTTCTCTCAAATACTGCTTCCTGTTTGCAGCTCAGAACAGATAATATCAGGGGAGGGTTAATTGTTAAGGCCTCATCATTCACATTCTAATCTGACCTTTATCATACATACCTTACTAATCTTAGCCTCTATTAGTTTCTCTTTTCTTTTTATATTTTGTCGTATTATGACCACTGGCTTTATTGGGATCTTATGAAATAGATATAAATGTTCAGTTGAGGTAATTTTTTTCTTTTTAACAAATAAAATGTAAAAAATTTGATATATAATAAGAAAAAATCTTCACTTGATTCCTAAACTGTCTCTACCAGGTCAGCTGGATTACATTTTGGACTTTTATTGATCCACTCATCAATATTCATCAATATGCTCTGATGTAAAGCATTCCATTGTAGCTCTGATTGTTTCGGGGCCGGCACACTTCAGTAAGGTTAACTCCAAGCTTTTAGCAGCCTTAAAGAGTTACCTTTTTCATTATATTTTAAAATATATATAAATAACATGAACATTTCTAGTTGTAAGGTAACAGACGGGGAAGAGAATGAAGGTCATATAAGTCTTGCAAGCATTTAAAATGAGGCTTAGTTTTTCTGAATTTGACCACCTAAAATATGTTTTTGTTTCCAAATTTAGGGCCTGCATCGTTCCAAAGGTCAAATTTGTAGGTCAATTGCATCGCAGCGTACAACTAAGCCTGGGAATTGAAAGGCTCCTTCATGCATCCTCGTCTTCCCTCAATTTTCAGGTCAGGCGTATCCAACATAGCCGGATCTATCCCATGATTTATCGCCGATTGGAGCAGACTGAAGTAGATGCAGCAAAGATGGATGTCAGTGGCAAAAACTTTGATTAAAAATTATATCTAACACTTATTGTGATGCTAAATTAACTCTAAATATGCTTTTAGGTGAGAATTTAGTTTTTTATAATAAAATATCTGCTTGATTTATCAAGATATCAATTAATTCTTACATTTTCTGAGCTATATATAGGTCAGAATAAATAGAATAGTTGATGTTTGGCTAATCTAAGGGTTTAATATGTTACTGAGCAAACCGGTTTAGCTGAAATGGAAGCAAAGCTTCAAAACTGAATGGTTTTATTAAACTTTAATGTCTATTACTGTTTATACTAGCCATTTAAGATAATAGCATAATACATTTATATACTTCTTATTTTTGTTTTTTATCAAATGGGATAATAATACAAAAGAAAAATGATTGGCTCCATTTTTACAGCAGAATAGCTCTGGGATTCATGTTGTCATGCTCACTTGGGGACAGAAACAACCCTCAGGTGAGTGCGGGTAAATCTGCTGAAGGCTAGACTGTCCAAATTGTTCGAATGATCCAGTGTATCATTGAGTTCGAATTCAGGTGATGCGTCCTCCGAAGACCAGATTCGAAGGCTGATTACGTTATAGCGTGGCACCGAGGCCTGTTCGGATTCCAAGACTCCTCATTATGTGGCCAACAAATGCATCCTTCTTTCTGCCCATTTTGAAGGACGGGTCCCAGTGTATCCTATGTAGCTTTGAGTATCCCATGATTCATTGCAAGACCAGGCAAGCCAGCTGCTCCGTGCTCAGAGGAAAAAGGTACTTGGCGCCAAACAGTGGAGAATATTGGAAAGGCATTTTAATGTAATAAAAGTATGTGAACAGTTCCATCTGGAACTAATTAAAATAGTTTTTTTTAATGGTTATTAAGTCAAATATGAGGTAGGTAATGTTTGGTTTATTGAAAGGTTTTATCTAGCCTTGTGTAAATGGGTTTGACTGACATTTGATGACAGATTCTAATATATCGGCCAAATGGGGATGATAAATTTGATATTCCCGTTGAAGCACCTTGAAAATGCAAAATAATAAATAAATAAAACTAAAAAGCAGTGAGAAGTTCTGTTTTAATTCTGTTCCTGCTTTGTGTGTCAACAGGCCCGGTTGCTAAGCGACAGAGCATATAGGCGGTGTAGGAGCCAATTATTATTTGTTAATAATTAACAATTTTTTCTTTTTTGTGCATAATCTAGCTACATTTATTTACGTCATTATTTGATATACGTTATGAGATTATGTTTTTTTGGTTATTTAGTCATGTTCCTTTGTTTTTTGTTAGTTATGATTCATTTGGGTGAATTATGTTATATAAATAGGTAGTCAATGGTAGGACCAGCGTGCATCTGGTTATGGTTTTTTTATACCAGCCCAAGAGAAACATGGAGGAAATGTTTGTCTTTTTCTGTTTGCTTGCCTGAGGAGAAAATAAGCTGAGAAAACTAAAAGAAGTTTACCTGGAACATTTTTTCTTTTGCTGGCATAAAATTAGTCCATGGTGCATCTGTGCTTTTGTGGATTTCCACTTTTTTTGTGTCATCAAAGCTGGACCACAATAGGGTGTGTTGAAATTGAACACACCCTATGGAAGAAGGATTACTAAAAGGATGCAGCCCCAAAAGCCCATCATCTGTGTCTGAATTCAGGAGCTCTTCATTTCCCCCTTCTGGTCTGGAGGAATTGACAAGCAACTTAGTTTGCTTATATCTTGGTCCGGCTAAAGAACAGATATCCCAAATGTACCCCCCCTCCAAAAGAAAAAGTTAAAGTTTACCCTTTAACAAAACAATGAGGTTTAGGTTAAGCAACAGTTGACTCAGCACCATGTAGAAGTTTGAATTTTTACTTTTTTCAAACCTGACCAACACATGCGCAGATAAAGCCTCCAAAATTCCCCAGACAAAGCAGTTTTGGTTATTTACTCACCGTATTAATACCTTAGCTCCACATGGAGCTTGGAAAAGCAAATCCATTGTATTAAATGAGGCTTATGTAAAGAAAAACACACACTTCAACACACTGCCTTGTCCTGAGTCAGATGACTCAGAGTGTGTAGATGAGGATATTATGAGAATAATGATCAGCTGATAGAAACAATATCTAGATTCACTGAAAACACTCTAAATCTGAACCTTCTGAGTGTAGGCTAAAATGTTACATGTCCTTCAGAGCTGTTTTTGGGGTCAATTATTGCTTAGAGATGTATTAATCTGTAACTGAGTTCCTCTAAGGCCTGCATTTTTCTGCAACAAGCAAACCCAGCTAAAATTTGAAATATGTTAACCTAATCTGGATTTACACATTTAAAATTATATGAGAAAATTAGGATTTCGTGAGGATTTATTTGCATTTAAATGTGCAAAAGTGAAAGAAATGAAGGCAAACTTTGATCTCTGTGGGTTTTCATTGGAAGGAGAGTTTGGATCTCCTTTTCCCCTAAAAAAAAAGAAACAGATGCGGATCTAACTTACCCATTCTACCAGTTTAAGGAACCCCAGAGGCTCCTTCAGGGGCGACAAGTTGAGTCGAAATCCGGTCATCATGATTAAACCGTTTTCAGTTCAAGTCTTTATCCGGTTTCCCCTCTAACTGTAGAGCTGGATGATGATCCAACTGGAAGGAAAAAGTGGGAGTTCTTCAACACAGTGACGTGGTCTTCCTGACACTGCAAGAAATGACCGCAGCAAGTTTAAAAAAACAGCTTTTCCTCTCTATCATCCCCCCAATAAGTTAGAAAAATGCAAAACAACATATACGCACCTAAAAAACAGCTTGTTTTTGGTTGAAAGTTTCTTAATAACCTTTTTTTTAATTCAATAAAACTATTTTGTTAATGTAAGCACTTCTTTCAGTGTAAGATCTGGTCAGCGATGCGCTCAAGATGTGGCGGATGCCGCGCGTAAAAGTGTGCCAAACTCCCCCCTCGGGGCGCTTCATGTGAGGGATTTGGTTACCAAAAGACGCAGCATGCAAAAACAGCAGTGAAAGTCTTGATTTTAATTGAGTTGCTTAAAAGAAAACCAACAGTTATGAAAAATGAAAGCCGGAAAAAGGTCTTAAAATATCCCACAGCTGCAGTTCGAGCAAGGCTGAACATCTGCAAAAGAAAAATCATGCAAATGATGAACTACAGATTCGGTTCCGTCTCTAGATATAAGGGGGAGTCATTTAATTTCCATTTATGAGATCACCATAAAAACACATGGAGCCAACCCTTTGCTGAGGGAATAGTTGCTGACCTGGTCATGTGACTCCAAGGAAAGAGCAGCATTCTTATAAGGAGAGGTTTTCAGGGCATGGAAACACCAAATCAGATCATTGAACAGCGACAATGTCTGAAATCCACTGCTCAGGTGTAAAGCAGTGGTGGTTCTAGACCACATTTACGGGTAATAGTTATTTTTTCATAGAGAAAAAAAAAAGGTGTGATATATAAAACTAATAAAAAAAGAGTCATTTGTAACCTTGGAAACCTCAGATATAGCAAATAAATACTGATCTAATGTCAATATGACTGAAGCCAGGAGCGTAGGTTTCAAATTATTGATAAAACTGTAAAAAAACAAAACAAAAAGGTCCAATCAGGGGCGGAGCTAGATGGGGGGAGCACCCCTGTGGCCACCCCCACTTTCCCCCCTCTAATACAAACAGTGGCAATAGTAATACTCACAAGTAGAATATTCAAACCATTTTAATTTTTCATATATTAACATTTCCTTGACAACAAACATACTGTGGTTAATTATGCACATAAATAATAATAATAATAATAATAATAATAATAATAATAATAATAATAATAATAATAATAATACATTTATTTGGACTGCACTTTTCACCAAAAATACCTCAAAGTACTACAAAAAAGAAAAGCATTAAAAAAGAAATACATACAAATTTTCAAAATTACATAAAAATAATAATAAAAGCTGTTTTAAAAGAGAAAAAAACATCTAAAGGCAACGAAAAGTTGTGCTAAAAAGAAATGTTTTAAAGCCTTTTTTTAAAAAAACACTCAGTGGATTGAGGTGCCCTCAAGGTGTCAGGGAGGCCATTCCACAGATGTGGGGCAGCAGCGCAAAATGCTCTATCTCCCATGGTCTTGAGTCCGTTTCTGGGAATGTGGAGCAGGTTTGAGTGAGTTGAGCAAAGGGAGCGGGTTGTGTTCTGTGGGTTGATAAGTTCTTTAAGTTGGAGTGGGGCATGTCCATGGATGCATTGATGTGTGAGGAAGGAAACCTTGTATTCAATCCTGGTGAAGATGGGAAGCCAGTGTAGGGAACAGAGAATGGGGGTAATGTGCTCATGTTTCCGCACTCTTATCAGGATCCTAGCTGTAGAGTTTTGAATGTACTGAAGCCTCTGCACACTCTTTTTAGGGATCCCAATGAGAAGTGCGTTAAAATGGTCCAGTCTGGAGGAGACAAAGACATGAACCAGCTTTTCGGCGTCTGGGAGGGTGAGAATGGGACGGAGTTTGGAAATATTACGGAGGCGGTAGAAAGAGGTCTTGCATAAATTATTTATGTGGGCTTCAAAAGTGAGTTGTGAGTCCATTCTTACACCAAGATTACTAACTGTTGATGAGAGCGCAAATATATGTGTCTCTCCAAGTCATCTGGGAGTCTTCAGTGAAATCATAGATAAATAACTATTTTAATAAAAACATTACATAATCAATTTATGTGGATATTTTTACTCTTAACTATCTTTTTTTGCAGATTGATAAAAATAAGTAATGACAATGGAAAAGATGTTTGCCCCAGAGCCTAAAACTGAAAGAATTGTATCCACCATTTATGCATCTATTTGTTAGCAAAGGCTGTACGAAAGGATAGTTTATCTTCATTTAGAAAATATGGATGTTGTGCTCATTAATTTCCCTGTTGGAACAGTGTAGCTTAACCCTGAGGTTCTGTTGCCTATCCACTTTCGGCCACCCCTCAACGTACATTGGTTATTGCCTGGCTACGCCTCTGGGTCCAATTAGTCTATCAGTAGTGTTTTCTATTCCAGCACTTACTAGTATTTATTTACCATACATTTATTTTAAATTATGTCTTTGGTACTGGGGCCAGAACAGCCAGGAGTAGTTCTGCAGGTGTACTGGCCCCTGTTGGCCCCTGTTTAGAACTGCCCATGTTTAAGGAGATTTCCTACTAATTACTGCAAATAAATACTCAAAATTCAAGATCAGAATATTACATCCAGTGGCGGTTCTAGATTAGATTTACCAAGGGCCAGGGTGGGACAAAGTTTTTATTTTTTTTTAAATGGAGGCACACAAAAAAGGTCGCAGACCCTGGATTTAACAGAAAAAAATAATGCAACCATATTTGGTATCTACTAAATCATATTAAGTTACTTTAACAAAATTGTTTTATGTCCTACCATGTTAACAGGAAAAAATGTTTTAAAGTAACTAAATATGATTAAGTAGATACCAAAAACGGTTGCATTATTTTTTCTGTGCATTCACATAATATGTTTGAAGATTAAAGTGACTCAAATACCTGTTAAAGTAAACTGTAAAGGTAAAAGATTAAATTGCACCACAGGATCAATCAGTTACATTCTCATCTGCAAGTGCGTATCTTCAAAAGAAATATATTTTATATGTTTTCAGTAGAAGGGCCAATTTTAAAATAGAACTGGCCCCTGTTGGCCCCTCTACTGAAAACATAACACTGAATTAATTTCTGTAGAAAAAAAGCCCAAGATGTCCCTATTTTAGTTTGCTGCAAAACATAAGAAACACGTGAAGTTGATCCTTTTTAATAAAACTTAAACTGGGATTTTAAGGCTTAAATGTGAAGCAGTGTAGGAAAATGATCAAGCGAATAGCTGCACCATCCCTACTGATAAACAAGGTAGTGGTTACACCATGTTGGGATGCCTTTCTAGGGAAGGGTTACTCAAACCTGATTAGACAGTGATGCATGCGATCAGTGTCATCAGTACTGAAAAATTGGTGATTTGTAACCTAAAGTTTGATTTCCAGTGTCCAATATGGCTGCTACATATTATCCATCAGCAATTTGATGTTTGCCTCTTTGATACCAATGAACTTAGAGGAAAATTCTCTTCAATAGAGATTGCCAAGCATTGTGCCTGCCATTGCTTTAACTGAAAAATAGAATATTACCTCTTTTTAATTCTTTACAACAGCCATATATGATATCAGGTGTTAATTTTCAACATTATATCTCAGAAATGTGACTTAGTCCATATTCAATTTTAAGATTTTTTAATGAATCTTTGAGTTTCTTCAAGGAGTTTTAGATGCTGAGGGAAGGATTTCCAGCAGTGCTCTGTCCTAGCGGATCCAAGAGGCCTCTAACTGAAGACATTTAGTTGTTAAGCTCTCTAAATGAAGAGGATGCTCAGGGTTTTCTCTTATGCTCTTCATGTAAAAAAAAAATTACATCTTTGTGAAAGCATCTCCAGCTTTTAGAGGAGCCCATCAGAGCTGCTCTAATGGCTCTTATGTTGGTACTCCAGCAGATGGTGGCAGACTGGGTCACTCAGCGATCAAAAGCAGCGTCTTTCTGCAAACACTGCAGGACCAAAGCATCCTTATCCAATCCACTCTGCTCTGCCCCGTCTTGTTGATTGCTTCGCAGCTGCATCTCCAGTCCAAAAACTGATATTTATACTGCAAATTTGTACTTTTTCTCTTTCAATATTTAAATGCATTATATGATTCATTTTGTATTATGGAAAAAAAAGAGGCCAAAGATGTCATCAAAAAATTCCTTCTATGCTTTGTCATCCTCACCTAGCAACCTGTACGAATAAATGCTTCAAACTCCTTAAGAAAAAACTTATACCAACTTCTACAGAGGATTGAAATTGGTCATCAGGTTGCTTTTAATTAGCTCAAATGGCTATTTTAGTTGAGCACACGTATCCCAGGCTAAAATGGTTACTTTAACTAAAACTAACATTGGATTGTGTTGACTGTAAAGATATTTAATGATATAGGAAGAAGGCTGAAAGTAAGAAGCTGCTAAGACTATAAAAGTCTGTTTTCCATCTGGGAGAGTGAGAGCAAGAATTTCTGCAGATAACAGAAAGGTTGAAGGGACAGAAAAGTTCCCATATAATCCTTTATAAGTTTCAGCACCAAGAATAAGCAGCTTAGATTCTGCTTCAAGACGGATCAAACATTTTTTAAACTCTAATCCCTGCAGATGGTTTAACTTATTTAGCTCCACGCTGTGCTTGTTTTAGCTGATAACAGAAACTTCAAGTCTTTACTGAAAAAATAATGGATGCACATCATCTTTGAAGAAAAAGAGTGAAAAGACAGATTCGCAACTTAGAGGGTGGCATTTTTAATCAGTGTATTCTTGACAATATAGCAAGTTATGTTAGTTAAAATCTCAGTTATGTTGGGAAAAAATGTTTTAAAACAACATATACATACGATTAAATCAGCTTAAAGAAAAAGTATTCACAACCACGTTTTCTTTTTTTGTTTTGTATCATCCATTATACAACACGGCATTCATACAGGACTCCACTCACGCAGGAACTAAAGGTTTGACAAACCCAAAGACGATAAACAGCACCGCTTCTGTCGAGCCGTTTCGGATATTCTTCTGTTGGTACAAAAATGGCCATTCTGACAAAAATAATGGTATATAGCGTGGTCATCTATCTAACCTTCCTTCTCTGCTTTGAGTTGCACCCCCTTAGATTTATGTACAAATGTGAAGGCAGTATGGCCACATTGTAAATAAGGATATTTACTGTGATATTTTCTCCCTAGTCATACAAAATAATATTAATCTGAGGTAAGAACTGAGATAGTATCAAAACGGTAAAATAATATTCTACTAAATGCACCTCATTTTTGGGAAGGAAAACAACTACCATCATTAAAATGAATAGATCGAGACAAAAGAGCAGCAAAACAGACGGGTATAATTAGAAATTAAATTAAAAAAAAGCAGGTCAGAAGCTGTGGTCTTCACTGGCTTTTTTCTGTTCAGAGCCAAGGCCAACATATAGACGTTTGAGACTAGATAGGTTTTTGTCCAAAAGTATGATGATCCGAAACGCATTTCTAGAGCCGTAAAACAGTGAAGTAAAAATGAGCAGTGCAGCAAAAGCAGATCAGCTGAATGTCTGACTACTGCCTGGATTCTTTAAAGACTTAAATAAACTCACGAGAACTTTGGAGACTGGGCTGAATATTAAACATGCTCTGAGATTTTTACATTCTGGTGTTTAAAATAATGCCTACAATATTTTAAACGTTAATATTTGCCCAGTAGCATTTAACCAAGTATCAGAGATCCACCTGAAATGGCTCGTTTTCAGTCTCCCCTCATCCTAAATAAGGTGAAAATCAGTTTACAAAGAGGGATCCTGACATATCAAAGTGCTACCAGGTTGAGGTAAAAACACTCTTTGGTGTGGATGTGGTTACTGAAGGAGGAGGCATCAGTTTGCAATCAGTGGAAGCAGAGTGATGTTTAGTTAACAAAAAAAATAAATAAAACACCTGCTTCAAACCATCTGGGTTTCATTTTGATTTACCAAAGATAACAGGAAGGCTAAAAAGGGACAATAAAACTGCTTTGAGCCTTTTAAGCTGAGTTTATGGAAGATGCTGGATTTAAATATAAAAAGCCGAGTTAAGGTTTAAATCTACAATCTGTACTGAACTGCTTTTTAGTTAGCAATGCTAACTGAGCTAACCAGGTTTAGTGTCATAGATTATGCTAAATATAGCTGAAAATGTCAACTCTAAGCTAATTTGTTTAAATAATTTAGCTAAACCCTGTTTTCCAGTGACCCTTCTATCACACACACAATGTTACATCACCTCTGCTCCTAATTCAACTATTTTATCATATATATTATCTCTCTGATTTGGCTATAATCAATATTGGCAGGTTAAAGCTTCACATACCCAAAGCTAGTAGCATCCACACTAACTACACACTGATAAGAACAATTGGGACATGAGAATGTAGCAGCAAAACAGAAATTAAATCCTCTGTGGCTTATTATGCTAAGCCATGAATGCAGATACCATGCTGGAACTAAGGAATCGGTAAAACTCTGCAGCTGCTAATAGGCAGCCCATAAAAACTGTAGAAGTTTTAAAACTCATTGGAATAAATCTAATAGTTTCTACCAGCTGCTCAGTGTGAACAATTCCCAGCGACAGATTAGTTTTCTGTGATATCAGCAGCTCTTATCTTATCTGAACTCCCCTGCAACTGGGAAGCAGATCAACAAAACAGAGACCCATCAAAGCCAGGAAGCATGGCTGTCTCAGACTAGACTGAAAGCGATCCGATCTGATGGATTTATGGATATTCAATTCAACAGATAGCTTTGCTGACTGACTTAAGGCAGTGATACTGAACGTTTGCTGACCTGCTCGACTCTAAAACTATAAAAGAAGACCACAACCCATGCCCACCTATCTATAACACCCCACCCCTACAGATTCAAAGGCCATCAAACGTGTTCTCTAATCCTTCCATCGACAATTGCATTTGCATGAAAGAATACCACACAGTTGTTTAAAGGAAGAAAATACCTGTATACACACTCACAGACAGATACACATATAAGGACAAACATTTAACATACATTTCATCCAGGAACCATACAATTAGAATCATTCATAAACACAATGTCAGCTCCATACCAGTGAAGGTGACTTTTGAGATGCATATTTTTACATCATCTTACATAAAAGGCTGTGCATTAACCATCATGAAGATCTGAAGGAGTCTTTTTCTTCATATCAAATTTCATACATATTTTTTTTTTTGGTTTGGATCTTGATGATAAAAATGCACTACGGGCAAGATAACGACACAGAGATGATCAGTTGTATAAATTCAGCAATGCATCTGTGTTGGCAGCGTACATATAGGTATAGTTTAGGCTGTAATTACCAATTAAAAGCGAGGAGTTGGGAAAAAAAGTGACATTACCATCTATAATTACATTTAAAGGGTTTCGGATTTACTGCTACCAATGTGAAGGAAAACTTTAGAAGAATTAAATTATTTCAGTGTTCTCAGTGCACAGCAGTTTACAAGGATCATCAGTCCTTCCTTCACATAAAAGACAAAACGAAGCAGATTAAAATTTGTTTTTTTCTTCTTAGCAGGTTTGTACAGAAAGACACGTGGAACCGTCACTGCTTAGAGTGGCTTTTCGTCTCGCACTGAACGTCAGCAGGAGGCACCAACCATCAGCCGCTAGCTTAAAACATTGGGTGCAAAACATCCAGGCGTAACACTGCAAGATGCTCCAATTTAATTTGAAGCTGCAGCACATCAATGAAGCTGGTTTGAGTTATTTTATTCTAACAATTATGGGTTGCACAGATTTAATTCAATT